ACGAGTTCGGATTCGAGTTTCAATCGATGAAAGAAAAATTAAGCTTTCAAAGTGTAACCTATGTTTCTCACAAGTAAGAAGCTAATCCTTGCAATCAGTTTCATTGATCCTTTACGGGAAAATACCTCATCAAACATCACCCAAAGCGATTCATATATCTTTTTTTATCGGATCACCTTTTAAAGGTTCGTTTCTCCAATCTAGTTTTTGAAAAAAAGAAAAACATCACCCAAAGAGGTTCATATATCTTTTTAATCGGATCACCTCTTAAAAGTTTATTTCTCCGATCTCGTTTTTGAAAAAGAAAATACATCACCCAAAGCGGTTTGTATATCTTTTCCGATTGGATCACCTCTTAAAGATTCATTTCTCCGATCTCATTTTTGAAAAAAGAAAAACATCACCCTAAAGCGATTCGTATATCTTTTCTTATCAAATCACCTCTTAAAGGTTCGTTTCTCCAATCTCGTTTTACAAAAAGAAAAATATCATCCAAAGCGAGTTCGTATTATCTTTTTTAATTGGATCACCTCCTAAAAGTTCATTTCTCCGATCTCGTTTTTAAAAAAAGAAAAAAATTACGCAAACAATTTGTATATCTTTTTTTATTGGATCACCAATTTAAGGTTCGTTTCTCCGATCTCATTCATATACTCGCATCTTTCATTTTTAGAGTAGGTTGCCCTTGACAACAAGGTCACACATTACACATTTAAGTTTTAGGGTAGGATGCCCTTGACAACAAGGCCACACATTGCATGTTTCATTTTTCAAATAGGTCGCCCTTGACAACAATACCATGTATTGCACATTTCATTTTTAGGGTAGGCTATCATTGACAACAAGGCCAAACATTATATGTTTCATTTTTAAGGTACGTTGCCTTTAACAATAAGTCTATGCATTGCATTTTTAATTTTTAAGGTAGGTTACTCTTGACAACAAGGCCACACATTACATGTTTCATTCTTAGGTAGATCGCCCTTGATAACAAAGCCATGTATTGTACATTTCATTTTCTAGGTAGGTCGCCCTTGACAACAAGGCCATGAACTACATCTTTCATTTTAGGGTAGGTACGCCTTGACAATATAATAAGGTTACGCATTGCACGTTTAACTTCCATGGTATGTCGCCCTTGATAACAAGGCCATGTACTCGCATATTTAGTTTTCTAAGCCATCCTATCATAGCTTTCGAGTTTTATCATTAAAAAAAAAACTTTTTTTCTTTACAAGCTTATTAAACAAAGTCATAGAAAAACATCTTTTTCATCCGACTTTGTATTATAAAGAGGTAACTCGTCATAACCCAAAATTTCTTCATAATTTATTATTATTATTATTATTATTTATTGTGTTTTATTTCTTATTTTATTTCATCTTGCGATTTACTACAAAAAAATCAAAAAATACAAAAAAAATATAAAAAAAAGGAAAATAAATAGAAAATACAAAAATATTCATCCGAGGGCACAATTGTATTTAAAGAAAGGTCTAATTGAAGTAATTCGGGATATAATTAAACCAATTAGGAAATTCGAACCTAAATAACACCCTATAAAGACCTAATTTATAAGATTATGTTTTACAAAAGCCGAAATTATACAACCGAGAGGACATGATCGCTAATGATTGAAATTCACAAGGACCAAATTTGAATTTTGGAGTGGACGACAGGATCTGAAATGGAGAGGACAACTCGTCATTCGGTATTGTCATCCACTCCAATCTTCCTTCTCTCCGAAAATCTTTTGAAAAATTTGTCCAAATCTTCCACCAATTTACTTGTTTTGATTTTGCATTTATCACGATTCTTAGTTGAATTAATATCAACGAGAGAATCATGCAAACATCAATCTCTTTCCTCATTGATTAGCTAATCGAATTTCAAATTTGAGATTTGACAATAAAATTCGGGATTGATGGTTGATTCTAGAAGAAATTTAAGGAATTTTGTCACTAAAAAGAGGGTCCGAATTCACAAACGAGAGAGGGAGAAAAAACAAAAGCAAAGAAAAGCAAAAGTGAGTTAAAAATCTAAAAATTTGGGTATTAGGCTACTGGGTTTTTCTAGGTTTATGTTCTTGGGGTTCTTGAGGTTACGGGTTTTAGTTCATAATCTGCCAATCCCTTTTAGCTCTTTGTTTTGTGTTTCTCTTGGCTAAATTTCCACCTTCATAGTTTCCTCCATCTCCTTGTTTGAAATTCGAGGTTCAATTCTTACATTTTCATTTTTTGTTCTTCACGTTTCTAGGCGAGTCTCGCTTTTGTTCTTATTTTTTGGGTTTTTTTCCCTTCTTTTCGGGTTAGTGTTCGTCATTCTCCGGTTCGATTGAAGGGTGTTTGAGTTTTTTTTAGAGAGATTATCATTTTTTGGGTGAAGAAAAATAGAAATCGATGGTTAAAAGTCAAAGAAATCGTGAGAAATCATCGCCGGGGTTCATCGGTGCTGCGTTTTTTTGGGTTTTCCGGGATTGTTCTTGGTGTTCTTCGGGCACTTTCTAGGTCAACTCCTGGATTCGACTTCTCGATTTTTGATTTCATTGTTTATTTTAATTTTAATTGTTTCCTTTTATTTCTTTCCCACTTTGAATTGTGTAATTGAGTTTTTCGCTTAGAAGGGGGTATTTAATTTCTAGAAAACTTGAAGAACTAGAGAGAGAAATTGAAGAACAAGCTAAGAACGAGAGAGAGAGAGAGTCGGAAGGGGGTTTGATCCCAATTGGGTAAAAAAAAGAGAGGGTTAGGCCGATTTCAACCACTCCGACCCATTCTATGACCCGAAAAAAAAAAAAAAACAAAAGGGGCTGGACTGAATTCGACCTAACCCGTGCCCCCTCTGCCGAAAGAAATAAATAAATTTCGAGAAGGCTGGAATCGACCCGACCTTCTCCCCAAAAAAAAAAAAAACAAAAGAAAAGAAAAAAAAAAACAAAGAAGAGAGGTCGGAACCAGTCCGACCTCCATAAATAATAATAATAATAATAATAAGTAAAAAATAAGAAACAAAAAATGAAGAAATAGAAGTAGGGAAGAAGAGAAAAGGTATTTTCATTGTTTGGGTTCCATTTTTACTTAAGTCTAATTATTTTGGTTTCCCTTTTATATTTTTTTGTTTTTTCGGATTCAATTTTTAGATGTTGTTTTTTTAGTTTTATTTAACCTTGAAATGTTAGAATTTATGGTAGTTTTTTTTTAGGTTAGATAATTATTCGATAAAAAAGAATTATTGAGTCTCCAAAAAATTTTAGGTATCGATGATAAATTTTTTATCAACAAAAAATAAACAATGAAAATTCTCAACGAGGTCTCCTATTTGATAGAGGCTATCTTTGAGCCAAAAAAATAAAAAATAAAAAAAAATCTCAACGAAGTCTCCTATCTAATAGGAACTGTCATTCGACAAAATAAAATAAAATAAAAATTCTTGACGAAGTCTCTTATCTAATAGAGACTAACGTTACAAAAAAAAATCTCATAATCTAAATGTTCTTCGACACACCGGTTGTGTCGAGGCTTAAAGTAGATTCGATATTTGAATCGACGTATCACCTAATGAAGGGGATCGACAATCGTTTCAATACGATGCCACGCCTAAAACTAAAAAATTTAATTCAACTGGAAAAATGGATATTAAATCAAAGAATAATTTGGCAATAAATAAAACGAGTTTAGGAGATAAATTTAGGATCGAACTAGATATGGTACCTTTTTTGAAAATGGCACTTTTTGGTGATTAAATATCTTCCCAAAAGTGTAACCAACTCATTACTCGAGAATCTCCGAACCGAGTGCTACTTTTAGGTTCCTAGTTCCTAAATACTAAGTGGCAACTCCAAACATTTAATCCTGTAGATCTCAAAATTTTTTTTTAGGAGTCCTATCCGATGTCGGGTAGCGACATGATACAAGAATATCGATTTAATTTCAAAATCTTTTCAGCGATCCTTTGATTAGCAATGTCTTCTCCATATGTTTGCATTAGATTGACAACGTCAATGACTATTTAAGAATAATCCTTTAAACTTTCTATTTCTTTCATTCTAAGATTTTCAAACTCCCTGAAGTTTGAAGGCTACAGCCTTGCTATCTCCTTGAACGTCCCTCTACAAAATTTCCTATGCCTCTTTTGTTGTGGTGGCTTTGATAATTAGAGAAAAAAATTGCTCCAAAAATTCCATTATGAATTTTAGAGAAAGCTTTGGCATCCTTCATATTATTGGCTTCAACCTTTTCTCTTTGGATATTTGTAAGTTGAGTATTCAGCTGGCTCATCATAACCTTTTTCAACAATATTCTATAATGCTTCTGATAGAAGAAAACTTCTCATGTTTACTTTCCAAAATTCATAGTTTTCTTCTCCAAAGATTGGAAGAATAGAGTTTGACACATTAGAACTTTCCCCAGTAGAGCTTGCCATTAGCTGCAGAAACCTTTTCTATTAAATAGACCTGTAAATTATTTGTAAAAAAGCAAGCTCTTGAGAGGACTCTAATACCAATTTATTAGATTAGAAGAAAAAATTGTTGAGTTGTTGCTGCAAAGATTTTCTTGGTGGATTATCATAACATGGTCCTTCTTCTCCATCAATAATATGTCCATTCCAGTAGCAAAATATAGGTATATCTCTGTTAGCCATAACCAATCTGAAAAAATAAAATTTAATGTTATATTAAATTTAACAAAAATATAAAATATAAAGCTTATATAATTTGTAGATATTATATGATAATTTGTTCTCTAAATTTGTATGTCACATCTTACTAAAATATAAATATACATTAATATTAAATTATTTCAATCATTTTCCTGATCAAAAAAGATGCAAATGTTGGACATCTAGAAATAACAAAATTTACGGTAATAACTGCCTTTGGTCCGTAATTGAAGATGGTTCAACTCAAAATTGTGAAACTGGATCAAATTGGAGGGGGCATAAATCCATAGAAAATTGCTTCTTCAGAAGCACAAAGGCAATTTGCTTACTCAGGGATTCACATGCAAGAAGTTAATCTACCATTGTTAGAGAGAGCTGAAGAGCTACTGATGCCTTGGCCAACTTTGACGTTGTCCATGAGACAACAACTGAAAATTAAGGGCCACAGCTGTGGTCCAGAAACCACAATACCTAGTGAAGCTATAACGATGCATCCAGAGATCAGTAAAACTTAATTTGCTTCATCCACATCCTATCTATATGCTGATAAAACATCGCTTTTATCAACACAAACGGACATCATTTGAAGAAACAAAGTCAACTTCATGGCCAGGAGGCAAAGTAGGCTATAGTATATTACAAGCAAACAAATCAGAGACAGTCATTTTGAATGTAAGCAATCAATCCCACAAGATTTGTATATTACTATCGATTCCCTAATTGACAATATACATATATTACAAGGAAATCGCCTGCACAACAACATGGTTTTTAAAACGGGTATCGGGTGGGTATGGGTATGGGCATAGGTTCGGGTATGGGTGTAACTAAATGGGTGAGGCCGACGAATCACAGATCAAAGATTGAGCAGCCACCAGGTTTAAGGATTTGATGGGATCTACAAAGTAGTGGTCGGTGAATCCCTGCTTCTTCTTCTATGAAAATTCATACAAAACCGAGCTTGGATGGAACTGAAAAGGCGAACAAAGAACTCTATCGAGGACGCCTGATCTGAATTTCTGAACTGAAATTCCTTTGTTCAAGCCACAAACTTGGAAATCTTGGACTCCACACTTTGGGGCTGGGCTAATTTAAAAGCAGGAAAGAGACTGAAGTTGGCTACTTTGCTTGGTGACTCCCTCAAGAGCAGGAACAGACCTGTTCTTCCTGCAATTCTTTGGCAACTCTTAGGTGGGTATTAGACTGATGGCGAGTGGGACTATTGCTGAATCAGAAATAGAAGAAGAAGAAGAAGAAATAAAGTTGGGTTTTATGACGGGAAGGTGAGAGTGCTAAGGGAAGATGAAGAAGCAGCGGCAGGGAATAATCATGCCGCTGTGGGGTATCCACCCTATACCTGTTTAGAAGCCATAGTATTTTACAAAAAGATTGACTACATTCTTCTTTTAATTCTCATAAGAATGCAGTTGTTTTGTGCAATTTTATAATCTAAAGGAAGTGAAGAAGAATCAGTAAATCTCGTTAACCTATGCTGGAGAACTAAAAAAAAATTCTAATCACAATTAAATAAATAAAAACAAGAGAATTTAGAAAAGTACCTGCTTTTTCTAGTAACCGTGCTTTAGAATTGTGAGAGTATTTGAATTTTAAGAAATTAGGGCAAAGACAACAAAAGAGAGACAAAGAGGATAGTTAATTTTTTCTTTTATATTTCTAATTTTTTTAAATTATTATATTAAATATATATTATAACACTTAATTAGAAAAAAATGACATGAATGCTTACATGGCAAAATTACCTTTTTTTATAAATAAGTTTAAAACTATCCTATTTTAGAAAATAAGATTAAAAACTACCCTATTTAGGGAAAAAAAACTCTGATATTTATCCCAAAAAACCCAGGTCGGTCCAGCTGAGACTTTCAGCCGGTCAACCATTACAATCTTACTGTTTATCAAAATCGATTTTGTGTTTCATTAGACTAGCCTTCATACTCATTTTCCCATCTTTTTTATTTCGTTATTATTGCGTAGTCTAATCAACTATTTTATCAATTCACCATCGCATCAATTCAACTATATTTTCTCAACAATCTTTTTGCCTTCCGTGCTGACTTTGAAATGTCTGCAATTCAAACCCTTGACATATCTCAATGAAGCCTGGTCAAATAAGAAACACGCAGAATCATCATCAAAATCAGCAAAACTAATGTATTGATTGTTAATTATTGATCTTTCTTGATTTTCCACTATTCTTAAAGTAATTCCAAATTTTGTGAAAAAGCAATTCAAGAACTGGCTTTTTTTCCTCGTAATGGAAGCTGTAAGCTCAATGGGAGTTCTTCATGTTCTTTTTGTGTACTCCCTTTTCTTTTCCGTCTTAAAAATCTCGACTGCACTAGATGCAATCAACACAACTCAATCCATAAGAGATGGTGAGACTCTAGTATCAACAGGTGGAAGCTTTGAGCTTGGATTTTTTAGCCCTGCCGGTTCAACTAGCCGATACTTGGGATTATGGTACAAGAAGTCGCCTCAGACAGTTGTGTGGGTAGCCAACAGAGAAATTCCCATTCCCGATAAGTTTGGAGCTCTAAACTTCACCAGCCAAGGTATTCTTGTCCTTCTCAATGGCACAAACAATAATCTTTGGTCATCAAATACATCAACAACTGCAAAGAATCCAGTTGCACAGCTCTTGGACTCTGGAAATCTTGTCGTGAGAGAGGGAAATGTTAATAACCCAGATAACTTTCTGTGGCAGAGTTTTGATTACCCTTGTGACACCTTATTGCCTGGAATGAAACTGGGAAGTAACTTGGTTACTGGTCTTAACAGGTTTTTGTCATCTTGGAAAGGCACAGAAAATCCGGCTCCTGGGCAATTTACTTTTGGCATAGATGTCCATGGTTATCCACAGCTAATTCTTAGGAAGGGAAATGTGATACGATACCGGGTGGGTTCTTGGAATGGCCGATATTTTACTGGGCTTCCTGTGCTCAATCCTAATCCAATTTATACAGCTGAGTTTGTGTTGAATCAGAATGAGGTTTATTGCAAGTTTGAGCTCCAAAACAGTTCAGTTTTCTCCAGATTAACAATGAATCCTTCAGGCCTATTGCAGCGCTTCACCTGGAGTGATCAAACAAATGATTGGACAGTTTTTGATACATTTCGATTAGATCAGTGTGAAAATTATGCTCTGTGTGGTCCAAATGCCCGCTGCGATAGCAATAGCTCTCCTGTATGTGCTTGCTTGGATGGATTCATTCCCAAGTCTCCAAGTGATTGGAATTCACAAAATTGGACAGGTGGGTGCATCCGAAGAACTCCACTTGATTGCAATGAGAAGGATGGCTTTCAGAAGTATATAGGGGTTAAACTGCCAGACACATCTTCTTCCTGGTATGACAATGGCTTTAGTCTGGGGGAATGTGAGGGTCTGTGTTTTCAGAACTGCTCTTGTTTTGCATATGCAAATTTAGATATCAGAGGACGTGGAAGTGGCTGCTTGCGATGGTTCGGCGACCTGATTGACACAAGAAGATTAGATGAGGGTGGACAAGACATCTATTTAAGGCTGGCTGCTTCAGAATTAGGTATGACTTCCAATTCTGCAAATAATTAGTCATAAGATAGCACCAAAATTTATAGAAATTGTACAATTATTTCTGTTCCAATCAGGTTCATAAACTATGGAAAAAGTAACTGCACCATTTTCCCTTCTGAACTTAATTCATATGTTTCCAATTTTCCTTTTTTTCCCTCAAAACTAAAAATCAGAAGTCATATCAACTTCTGTTTAAGTTAAGGTATTGAACACGGCAATATGCCTACGAACTAATATTCTTCGCTTTCAGTTGTACCTGAGAAAGAAAGAAGAAAGAAGAAGACCCATGCTGGAATAATTGGCGGCGCTGTCATACTCGGCACAAGCATCCTAATATTAGGAATTGTCTTTTGTATCCGTTGGAGAAAGCTTAGAAAGAATGACAACTTTGAAGATATGAAAGAAGAAGACATGGAGTTGCCAATCTTTGATTTAAGCACAGTGGAGCAAGCCACTAATAACTTTTCTACCAGCAACAAGCTGGGAGAAGGTGGTTTTGGAGCTGTATACAAGGTAACATAAAAGCACTCAGCATGTGCAAAGGTATCTTCTAATGGACAATTTACTGAGCTATGTGAATAATGTTGGTTTAGGGTACGTTGACTGAAGGACAAGAAATAGCAGTGAAAAGGCTTTCAAAGAGTTCCGGACAAGGATTGAATGAGTTCAAAAATGAAGTTATTTTAATTGCTAAACTTCAGCACCGCAATCTCGTAAAGCTTCTCGGTTGTTGCATTCATGAAGATGAACAAATGTTGATTTATGAATACATGCCGAATAAAAGCTTGGACTCCTTTATTTTTGGTATGAACCTGTCCAGTGTTCAGATCAAAAACATACTAGTTTTATCACCTTTTTATTATTTTATTCTGTTTCAAGTAGTTATCAGACTAATATGTATGACAAATTGGCCAGACTTAACAAGAAGAAAATTCCTAGATTGGAGTACGCGTACTCACATCATTGGTGGAATAGCTCGAGGGCTTCTTTATCTTCACCAAGACTCTAGACTAAGGATCATTCATAGAGATATCAAAGCCAGCAACATTTTATTGGATAATGAATTAAACCCAAAAATTTCAGACTTTGGCCTTGCAAGAATGTTTAGTGGAGATCAAACTGAGGCCAATACGAAAAGAGTAGTTGGAACATAGTAAGTATCCTGTACTTCTTTAGTTGATTTTCATTTGTGTATTTGGAGAAATTCCTTTCATGGTATAATATTTTGCAGTGGCTATATGTCTCCTGAGTATGCATTCGATGGACACTTCTCTGTCAAATCTGATGTCTTCAGCTTCGGTGTCCTAGTTCTAGAGATAGTGAGCGGAAAGAAAAACAGAGGATTTTGTCATACAGACTACAACCTAAACCTTCTAGGCCATGTAAGTGTTTAGAAACAAATAGACTGTTGATATGTGTTGGCATGGTTTCCTCTCAGGCCTCTGATCGATAGACATATTGCATTAATTTTACGAGTTGTTTGGCCTTCCTCTGAGATGTATTAGCAGTATTGCTGAAAGTGGAACAGTAGCTAAAGTAATATGCACATAGGATGAAATCTGCCTGATGACCTATTTCCATTATTCTTTTCAGGCATGGATGCTTTGGGTTAATGGGATGCCATTGGAAATAATTGATGAATGTTTAGCTGATTTATGCACACCTTCTGAAGCTTTAAGATGCATTCATGTGGCTCTATTATGCGTGCAGCAACGACCAGAAGATAGGCCAAACATGTCAACTGTTGTTCTAATGATTGGCACTGAAAATCCGCTGCCTCAGCCTAAACAGCCTGGTTTTTTTGTGGGAAGTAATCCATTTGAAAATGATACTTTATCAAAAAAACACCAATCTTACTCAGCAAATGAAGTTACAGTCACATTGTTGCAAGCACGGTAGGCTATTTTCAGTTGACATTCAAGGGATATTTCCCTGCAAAATCATCCAACGAGGTATAGAATTTCGAGCCTTCAGCAATTGCAGTGACAACAGTTCTCTCCGGCTGCTCTCTGCTAGTTTCAGTTAAGAGAACTTACCATTCCAGTGGCAGGCAACTTGCAATGAGCTATGGACAAGGTGTCACTTTGGATTCCAGCTATGACTTCAAAAATGTTTTCGCAGATATTCTTCTAAGCATCATCGGTCATTTGAGAAATGCCAAACAATGAGCAGTTTTCATGCTTCCGGAATCTATAGCTTTCTGATTATTCCCATTCTAAAACCTCAACAATCTTTTAGCATTTTTTTTTTTTTTTTTTTTTTGTAAATTTCTGTAATCGTTAGATGGATTTTATTGGATCTTTGCTGGACCTATATGAATGATGATTCATGTAATTCTGTGGATATGTGGTCTGTAATGTATGAAAAATGATATAATGATTTTCTTCTACATTCTTCAGGTATCAGTTTGTATTCATTAATTTACAATCTTTGAGGTTCGATTTCTTATTTATTGCCCGAAGAAAAAAGAAGGTCAAGGTTGGCGGATCCTGAAGAAGAGATGGGGGAAAATTTAATGTTTCTCTGTTTCAAAGAAGATTTTATTCTACCGTAGTGAAGTAGGATTTCTTAATTTAAAAATTCTGAAATGAGATTACACAAATGCAATTGGAAAGAAGGG